TGAAGAGAGAGGAAGCGTCTGTGTTCTATTTTTGAACTTCTTGGGGATCTCACATTACTTAAAAGATAGCAGGTTCAACACCAAACTGTGAAAAAGGAAAATGCTCTGGACCTGGGGGGGAGACACCCCAATGTCAGACAGACTCCCTGGTGATCTGTGCAGAGGCCTCCACCCAGCGGCCACTCCAGCTTGCTGGGCTCTGCTGGCTGCCCCGGGCTGCTTCCCCTGCACTGACTTTTCTGTGGAAGCTCTTGGGCCCGGCAGGGCCCCAGAACCACACGCTCCCTGCTCCTTCAAGCCAGCCAGAGAAAGAGGATGTTGGCCCTTCCGTTGGCCAAATTTTTTTTTCTTAATTTAAAAAAAATTTCAGAACAAGATAATAGGAGAGTAACAATGGTCAAAACATTGTATATTGTTATCTTTAAATTAGTTACTCAGCGTATAAGATAGAAATATTTAATTGTCCAAATAATAGTAGCACAAACTTTTCAATAAACTAAAATAAATTACTAGCATAACCATCTTTTTTTTTTTGCGGAACCAGGGATTGAACTCAGGTCCTTGAGCTCGCCAGGGAAGCGCTTATTCTGCTGAGCCATCTCCCCGGCCCAGTATAACCTAAATGTATATTTATATAAATATGATATAAAATATATATATTTCCCTTCTTCTCCCATCCCAGTTTCTGTTTCCTTTTTTTTTTGCAGTACCAGAGAGTGAACTCAGGACCTTGTTCTCTTTCCTTTTGAACAATTTTTTCCCACTTTATAATATCTGGTGTCCATTTGGATGTTATTTACTCTTTCAGCTTCTTACACTAGGGAGACAATAGGATAATTGCACATGTGTGTCTGATTTATTTCACGTATGAGTACGGTCTCAAGTTGCACCCACTTACTAAAAATGTTTCCAGTTTATCCTTCCTTCTGGCTGAGTAGTGCTCCACTGGGTAGAAAGACCACGTCTTTTTTTTTTTATTCATTCCTCAGTTGATAGGCATCTGGGTTATTTCCAAAATCTAGCTATTACAAATTGTGCTGCAATAAACATGGGTGCTCTCATATTGCTGTGGTATGATGTTTTTAATTCTTTTAGGAAGATGCTCAACAGGGGAATAGAGGGGAATAGAGGTCAAATGCGACCTCTAAAAGAAATTTTAAAAAAATTGTGCCAAGGAGATAGCTCTGCAGTCTAAGTGCCTCCCTGGAAAATGCAAGAACCCAGGTTCTATCCCCTGTACTGCATGCTGTGCCAGCCTCACGTGGCGCTGGCCACTGAAACTGGGCACTAGAGAGGTTGAGACAGTAGGATCACTAGGAGTCCAAGCTGCACAGCTAAACCTTATACCAAATAAATAAATGATTTCTTAAAAAAGTTGTGCTGGGAAAAAAAAAAGTTGTGCCGGGGGCCAGGGAGATGGTTCAGTAGAATAAGTGATTGCCTGGCAAGCGCAAGAACCTGAGTTCAATCTCCAGTTCCCAAAAAAAAAAAAAAAAAAAAAAGTTGTGCCATGAGCTCTTCTACTCTGATTGGACCATCTAAGTCATGTGCCCATGACAAAACCAATGACTGCAGGCTGGGAAATGCTATGGATTGAAGGCTTGTCCCTGTGGCAAAGGGACAGCATTACATTATTGGCTTAGTTCAGGGATGTTCCACTCCTGGAGGTGGGATGGGCCAGTCCCACCTGGGTGTAGTTGATGTTGTTCAGGCTGGACACTGTGGGAGCTTTTGGATAGCCAGTGCCCAGTTTTACTTCCTTCTTGAGACTTTCCCCACCTGTGGTGTCAGAAGTGCCATTCTAATCTTTCTTCTTTTTTTGTCTTGAGACAGTATCTCACTATGTAGTTCAGGCTGGCCTTGAACTCACAGCCGTCCTCCTGCCTCATAGCCACTCTATCCTTAGATCACAGAGTTCACTAGGCAGAGAAGCTGTAACACATCATTCCCAGCCGAAGAAAACAGCATGAAGGCCAGAGAGGAGAGGTGATGACCCATTCAGGGGGGAAATGAGAAATTCGGTGTGGCAAAGCCTAATGATTGGGGGCCTGGGAGATGGCTCAGTAGTATAAGCGCTTCCCTGGCAAGCACAAGGGCCTGAGTTCAATCCCCAGTTCCACCAAAAACAATAAATAAATAAAAATAAAGGAAGAGTAACTGTATATCTGCTTAAAAAAAAAAAAAAAAAAAAGCCTAATGATTTTTGAGGAAAGAGTAGTACTAAGAAATCCAAAGAGGAAAGATGGGCCAGTTCACCTAGAGCTTTGAATGCCACTTCAGGTTCACAGGTAATCTAATCTTTGAGGTGATTTGAATCAGAACAAGCTCATTACAGAGTGGAGGATGGGCTGGAGGGAGCCCAGCCAGAGGCTGTTCTGGGGTTGAGGCAAAGCTGGAAACCTGACCTAAGGTGCTGACCTTGAGGACAGAGAGAAATGAGTGGGTGTGGCCGATAGTGGCCAGGTGGAGTCAGATGGACCTGAAGAAATGGCTGGCGTGGCTAGGGGTTGGTGGAGAAAGTATGAGAGACGACATGAATTTGTGGCGTACACACTTGATAGTGTTTTATCCACAGGGGCAAGGAAAACCACCAACAGAGTGAAGGAACAACCCACAGTGTAGGGAAAAAAAAACTTGCCAGCCGTTTTTCAGACAAAGAATTAGTATCTAGAATATAGAAAGAACTAAAAAAAAAAAAAAAAAAAATCAGATTCCCCCAAATTTAAAGACCCAATCCAAAAATGGGCATTTGAAATGAATAGACACTTCTCAGATGAATAAATAGAAATGGCAAATAAATATATGAAAAACTATTAAGCATCATTGCTCATTCACAAAATGCAAACAACTCTGAGATTCCATCTTACCCCAGAAAGAATGGCTATGATCAAGAAATCAACCAGTAATAAAGTTGGTGGGCCAGATGTGATGGTACGTGCCTATAATCTCAGTACTTGGTAGGCTGGGCAGGAGGATTACCATGATTCCAAGGCCAGCCTGGGCTATAGAGTGAGATCCTGTTAAAAGAGAAAAAGAAAGAAAGAAGAAGAAAGAAAGAAGAAAGAAAGAAAGAAAGAAAGAAAGAAAGAAAGAAAGAAAGAAAGAAAGAAAGAAAGATAGATGCTGGTGAGCTATGGAAAGAAAGGAATTCTTTTTCATTGTTGGTGGGACTGTAGACTAATGCCACCACTAAGCAAATCAATGGGGAAATGCCTCAAAAAACTAGAACAAGAGGTCCCTTTTGACCCACCTATTCTTCTTGGTACCTTCCTGACAGAGTTAAGAGCATCATATCACAGCAGTATGTGTACACCATGTTAATAGTGCTGCAGTTTGTAATAGCTAAATCTTGGAAACAACCCAAATGTCCATCAACTGGTGAATGGATAAAGATTTTTTTTTCATATACAATGGAGTAATACTCTGCCATAAAGAAGGATAAGCTTGAGATATTTCTAGCTAAAAGAATGGGCTTTGAGATCATTATTCTTAAGTGAAATAAATCAGACACACATGTGTAACTACTGCATTGTTTCTCTGGTGTGGAAAACCAAAAATGTAAGTAAGGACCAAAATGTGTAATAGAACCACATGCCACTCTGCCCCGCCCCCGAGGCACACTGAGCTGCACACTGAGTCCAGGCGCAGTGGTGCAAGCCTGTAATCCCAGCACTGGGGAGGCTGAAAACAGGAGGCTCACAACAAATCAGAGCTGCGTTGTGAGACCTTGTACCAAATACATAAGAAAATACAACAAAATGTATAATAGGTATTATGAAACAGAAAATGTTCAGAAGGAAAGGGAAACAAGGGAAGGGGAGGAGGAAAGGGAGGAAGGGGAAAGTATGCCAAAAGGAGAAAAGGAAGAAAAAAATGAAAACAGATTTTGTAAAGGAGGGGAAGAGGAGTTGAAGGGAGGGGAGGGAATGGGGAAAAAAGAATCAAGTATCATGCACAGGTACAAATTCCTGATGATGGTGAATGTGGCCATTATGTATACCTAAAATGTACCAGTAGGTAATTTGATTTCTTATTCTGGATTTTTTTTTCTTTCTTTTTCTTTTTTTGGTTGAACTGGGGATTGAACTCAGACCCTTGCACTTGCCAGGGAAGCACTTATTCCACCGAGCCATCTCCCCGGTCTAAAATGTACCAATAGAGATCATTTTCTTTAAAGAAAAAAGAAAGAGGCAGGGATGCTGAATTATGTCAAAGGCTTCCAATAAGTCAAGGGAGATAAGGGGTGACATGTTCATAGGATGTAGCGACAAAAATGTTTCCTGGGCTTTTTGATTTTTGTTTATGTAGTGTTAAGACACAAAAGCTCAGAGGTGTGGTGGGAGCAGAGACCAATTAAGTCATGAATAAGCTGAATGGATGGCAGTGAAGACAAATAAGGACAACTGAGCTGCCTTGGGAGCTCACATATAAGACAAAGAGGCTGAGAATCAATATGTTTTTAAAACATCCAGCATTGGGCTGGCAAGATAACTCAGCGGACCAAGCCCCTGCTTAGGCAAGCATAGAGACCAGGATTGGATCCCTAGCACCACATGAGGCACCAGCCAGCCACCTAGTCTGAGCCTGGTGGCACACACCTGTAATTCCAGTACTGGGGAGGCTGAAAATAGGAGGATCATTATGAGTCAGCTGCATAGTGAGACCCTGTACCAAGTACATTATAAAATAAATAAATAAAATAAAAATACCCAGCATCCCTCTGCATGCTAGCTGCATCTCAACCCCCTCTGAAACTGGGTTTTTTTTTTAACAGTGCCTACCTCCCCTCCAGTTGTTGAAGTCCAGTCTTCCTACTGCTAAGAGTTATTTCTTATACATCCCCGCCCTTGACAGCTCCTAGTGCGTGCAGGGTGAATCATCAGTGAATCTTTGTTAACTACATGGTGTAACTAAGACTGAATGCAGTGCACTGTCTGGGGGACGTGCTGAGGAAGCCAGGCCGGGCTGTGATTCTGGGGAGGACACTTGCTGTTTTTCAGGCCCCAAGGAGGTGGTCCCTGACCAGCAAGGCACGAACACAGTCATGGTGATGGCGGTGCCAGGAGGCAGCCCTCTTGGGCACAGTTACAGCTTCTTGAACCCACGACTCGAAAGTGAGAATTGGACTGTGGACTCCATAGGGCTCTTCCAGCACTGCTCTATAGCTACAGTGACTGCTGGGGACATTCCGGGCAGTCCTGAGGAAGCAACTGCCCCCACCCCCAACCAATGTGGGCCAGTCTCATAACACCCAATAAACATGACTGCATCACCTTTCTGGAGTCTCCTTTCAATGAAAGGCAGGGTGAAGGTGGTTGGAGGGTCTTTGGACTCTAGCAGGATATGTGAGGGCTTTTGCCATCAAAGGCAGCCATATCTTGCTGTGAACCCAGCTACACCAATCCACAGGCCCAAGGTTGGGTGTGAGTGCCGCAAAAAATGTCCAATAACACCACACAATTAGCAAGAAGCCTGGCACCTGTGGGAAGCAGAGAGCTTTGACTAGGTTTCCCTGGCCCAGAGCAGGTGTATTTAGGGGCCCCTGGAAGGAGATTAGCTCTCAGAAGGGAATCCCTGCCTCTCCAGCCACTCTGCCCACGCCAGCAGAAGCCACACCGAGGGACAGAAGGAGAGGGAGTGTGGCGCACAGTGCTGAGCCTTCATCCTCTCCCATAGAGGATGAAGAACACATGCGTGAGTGAGGAAATGAGAGTTCCCAGACAGAGCCGCGCTCAGAGGGTGGACTAGGCCAGTTCCCGACCCTTTGGCTTTGCTAAAGACCTTTCATTTTCCTGAGCCTCAGTTCCCTTGCTAGGTTAATCCAAATGTTTGATAAAGTGATGGATTTGAACTCACTTTGTAAACATTAAGATGCTTAAAGAATTTTTATGTCACAGGTAGATGCTTCCCCATAGAACGCAGTCATGAAGAACAGGAACTCTGGAGCCAAAGGCCTGGTTAAAATCCTGTCTCTGCCACTTGCTAAGCTCGTCTGTGCCCTGATTCTCCCATCTGTGCAGTCAGGGAAGCTAGTAGTATTCACATGATAGGGCTTGCGGGAGGATTACATTACTTAGTCCATTCAAGTACTTCAGTGTTGGCAAACCAAAGGTACTATGTGTCAGCTATGGTTTGTTGTTAACAGTTTTTATTATTAAGCCGATCTCCCAGCTGTTAGCCTGACCGCAGAAAAAGCTTGAGGTTTTGCCTTGGCAATGAAAGGCAAGGGTGGGGGTACTCAGCAGCCACTGACAGCACTCTTGGTATTTCACATGGTGACATGATCTGCTGCTGGATTTGGCACCAGGAAGATGGTCGCTCTTAGATACTTGTACACAAGTATGGAGCCAGCCCGAGGCAGACTGTAGGGTAGGCAAATCAGAGGAGCTACCCACAGAAAGGCCCCTGGCTGGAGGTCCAAGACCAAGTGTGTGTGGTCTTTTATTCTCTTAACTTTAAACTCTGCATCCTGCTACCAGCCACTTAGCTTCCCTTGCTTAGGTTTGATTGCTTGCTGCTGGCCTAACCAAGGAGGCTATATGCTTTGCTAAAAAAGGAAAAGAGTTATACAAAGCCATTGGCCCTCAGCAAGAGAAAATGCTTATTTCTACACAAAAAGTCTAAAGTTTAAAGTTCATCTTGCACCACTGGTTATACACTCTGTTCTATGCCAGGACCATGCAGTTGCCAGGAACAGAGGGGCTCACATGAGTGTGAGATAGGCACGTGGAAAGGCGGGGGGCTTCCTGGTGATGGCCAGGCACTCGAGGGATGAAGATCAGAGTTGGAGATGCATCATCAAAGATGAGTCAAAGTTTCCAGGTGAGACAGGGTTGGAAGACATTATGGTCAGGGTACAATGTTCAAAAACACAGCTGAAAAGGCCAGCCAGGTAGTTCAGCAGACTAAGCACCTGCTTAGGCAAGTGCAGGGATCGATCTCCTGCACCACTTGTCATGCCAGCCCCTCCCCAGACACACTGAGCCAACCACCACGCAGACCACGTGTGGTGGTGCACACCTGTAATCCCAGCGCTTGGGAGGCTGAAAACAGGAGGATCACTATGAGTCCGGGCTGCACTATGAGACTCTGTACCAGTCATTTGTTGTGAGAGCCTTTAGGGTACTATGCATTTGTGTGTGTACGCGTTGTGTGTGGGATGTGCTGATGAGTGACTGTGAGGGCTGGGGGTGTGGTCACTGATGCTTAATAGTGACCTTTCACAAGATGCACCTCTTTTCTCTTTCTCTGTGTTGGGCCTTCTATAAAATTATGAAGGAAATCTGATGATAGGGCCATGGCCTTTAGGCTAGACACTGCTTGGCAGGGAGAGATGAATCTACAAGTTCTAAAAGCTCAAGTGGGGGCCAGCCAAATAGCTCAGTGGATTAAAGTGCCTGGTTCGGCAGACGCAGTGACAGGGTTCGATCCCCAGCCTACCCTGTGGGGCCTGTCCCCTAAGGCATGCTGAGAGGTGAATGAGACTGGGCATGGGAAGCGCCTGTCATCCCAGCACTTGGGAGGCTAAAAACAGCAGAATCAGTACAAGTCCGATCTGTGCCATAAGACCCTGTAGACCCTGTACTAAATACATTTAAAAAAGAAAAGAAAAGAAAAAAGAAGAAAAAGAAGAAAAGAAAAGCTCAAGTGGCCCAATACGGGCCTGAGTGGTGCTTCTCACGCTCCCGCCTGCATCTGAGTCAGCAGAGGCCTTGTGGAGACACAGGTTAGTGTGGTGGTGCGCATCTGCAATCCCAGCGCTCTGGGACACTGAGGTAGGAGAACCCGCAAGTACGAGCCCAGCCTGAACAACTTTGTAACTTAGTGAGAACTTTTCTTAAAAAAAAAAATAATAATAATATTAGCGACTGAGGATATAGTTTAGTGAAGAGGCTCAATTAAGGTTCAATCATCAGTGCCACAAAAAACAATAATGAAATTAAAAAGTAAAAAAGTAAGAAACACTAGTTGCTGCTCTTCAAAATTGTGCGAAATTCTCTGCCAGGGTCTGGGCCAGAAGGCTGGAATAAATCCATGTATTCGCATTTCTAACAAATCCCAGGTGTAGCTCCTACCGCTACTCTGGGACCACCCTTTGAGCGCGAAGAGACTGGAAGGACAAAGACAAGCTTTGAGGCCTCTGGCCACTGAGGTTCAGGAGAGCTTCTCAGGCAGCGGGGTCCTGAAGACCTGCTGGAGTCCCTGTCCCCGCCTATATGTACAGGGTGGGCACAGTGGAGGACAGAAGGTGTGTCCCTACACCCCCCAGGCCTACAGAGCCCCTGCCCCACTGAGTGCAGCATCTCTCCTTGGAATCCAGTCCATCTGGAGCCCTGGAGCAGGCTCTCCCCAGGCCCCACCTGTGGGAGCCCTTCTTGCGCTGCCCTTAGGCTGGAGCCCTCCCCCAGGGCGCTGAGCTGGGCAGAAGCCCTGTGGGCTGACGCACTGACAAATAGTCTGAGCTCACTGCTGCTCCCAGACACACACTGACCAGCAATTATTTCTTGCAAATTGCTTTCCCAGTGATGTTCAGAACGTTTGTGTGTGTGTGTGTGTGTGTGTGTGTGTGTGTGTGTGTGTGTGAGTGCCTGAGAACAAACACTCTGAGGGCATAGGGAGAAGATGATGTGTATGTTATTTAAGATAATTTTTGATTTTCTAGGTTACACAACTAATGCCACTAACTGAAACAGAGAACACACTAAACAAAGGTAATTGTCGACTTTATCTTTTTTATTTTTTGTTTTGGCGGAACTGGGGATTGAACTCAGACTCTTGCGCTTGCCAGGGAAGTGTTTATTCCACTGAGCCATCTCCCCCGCCCGAGATGATTGGGGGGGGGCTTCAGATGGAGAGGAGCCTTAGTCCAGTTCTTCAGCTACAAATTAGAGCATGTTGAATTGTTGAATGCTGGGACTTGGACATATTAGAACCATCTACCGTCCTCGCACTCTCCGCCTGAGGGGTTCTAACCTTTCCTCACACATTTGCCTAGGTTTGCCCACTTCAATACTGATTGACAGTGATTCTTTTTTTTTTTTAATTTTATTTATTTATTCATTTAGTGTGTGTGTGTGTGTGTGGCCAGCTCCGCCCACCAGGGGGCGGGGCTGGCTGGCATGTGGTGCTGGGGGATTGAACCGCGGTCCCTGTGCTTTGCCAAGCTTGTTCCAAGTAGGTGCTTTAGACCACTGAGCCATCTCTCCAGCCCCGACAGTGATTCTTTTTCAGGCTAAGTGAGATGATCCTGGTCCCTGAGTCGGAGGAGTTCCTGGCTATCTGTAAACCTCTTAGGAGTTAACACCAAAGACCCAGTCTGGACTGTGGGAAGGCTTCCTGGAGAAAGTGACCCCTGATCAGTCCTGGGGAACCCCCTGGCAGCTGAACAAGAGCTTGTGGTTGGGAGGAGGAGCAGAGAGAGAGGCAGACAGAGATGCCTATTGCTTAGAAGGAGCCTATGGTCATTTGTGGGTAGGAGAAAAGAAAAAAACATGAATATAAAAGAGACAAGGAACACCATAAGTTTTAGGTTGCACTTATAAAAAAACTGAAGCATCAGGACACAATTAAAATTGCCCAAGGTTACCATAGGAGTGTGTGTGTGTGTGTGTGTGTGTGTGTGTGTGTGTGTGTGTGTGTGTTTTGAGATAGGATTTCAATGTGCAGTTCGGGCTGGACTTGAACTCATTTGTAGTCCAGGCTGGCCTTGAATTTATATCAATCCTCCTGCCTCAGCTTCCCGAGTGCTGGGATTACAGGTGCGTGCTATCATGCCTGACTTGTGTGTGGCTCTGGACTTTATCCCCAGACCACTTTTCAATTTTTATTTTGAGATAGAGTCTTACTAAGTCACTAAATGGCTTAAACTTTCAATCCTCTTGCCTCAGCCTGCTGGAGTTCTGGGATTACAGGTGTGTACCACCACACCCCAGTTACAATGCTCTCTTTTTTCCCTTCCAGGCAAATCACCCCAGAATTCTGAATCCGCAACAGATAAAATGAGAGCCAACTGAGGTGACCCACATCTGTAGCCCCAGCACTAGAAGGCTGAGGCAGGATTATGAGTTGGAGGCCAGCCTAGACTACAGAGGGAGCCCCTGTCTTGAAAAACCAAACAATAAAAGGATATAGTAAGCCTGTAAACTGGGTTTGCGCTTTTCTCCTGATATTATGCATTCACAAGTTCCACAGACTTTCACCCTCAAGCACTATTCCTTGGGTACTGTATTTTTAAACTTCAAACAGAAA